TACCTGCTGGGAGAGGAAAAATCACTTTTCTTCAATAGAGTGATACTGGATATATCTACCACTCTGGCATGTTCAGGAGTAGTTGACCAACATAAAATGGACTCCATAGATTTTGTATGTGTGTGCTTTTATTTGTTACAATTTTGTTGTTGTTTTGGGGAGCATGGTTTTGTTTTGTTTTCTTGGTTCGGGGGAGTTTTAATGTAGAATTTTGTTTTTGTTTGTTTTTGAGAAAGAACTTAAAGTTGGGTGGGTAAGGAGAAGGAGAGGACCTGGAAGGACTTGGAGGAGGGGGGAGAATATGAAATAAAAATGTAATAAAGCATATTAAACAAATAATTTCCTATTTTTTAAAAAAGGAAATAGTCATTTATAATAAGAAATGTTATGAGACACATTCTAGAAAAGTATGCATTGGAGAGGATAGGGCAGAGAAACAGAAGAGCCTCAAACCTCAGGGACTATCAGATCAAGGAAATGAATCACGTAGGGAAGGTTGGTGACAGAGGCTTAAGGAAGGGGGAGAGAAAAATGAAATTCTTTTTTCTTTTCTTTGGGGTGTGGAAGATGAAAACAGAGATTTGCTCACACCATACAAGCAGTCTACCACTAAGCTACAAGCCCAGATCACCAAAAGTATTGTCTATTTTGTTTCAGTCTTACAGACTTTGCAAAATAAGCTTTCAATGTAAAAAGTCAAGGTAACTGAGTAGTAGGCAAGGAAAAGATACTCCCTACAAAGTAATTCACAGTTACATTCTATCAAACTAACACCCACAGCACTGAAGCAATTTGTCCATGTGACCAAGGAGCCACTCTTAAGAACTTTTACAAAGTTCATGGGACAGTGTCGGGAGTTGAGACAGTGTGTCCTGGATTTATTAAAAGGCCACAGTAACAGTCACAGTACTGAGGCTGGGTGCAAAATTCTCCAGTTGGTTATCAAAGAGTTGGCATGTGAGAGTTGTAGAATAGAAAACTGTCACATAGCTTGACCACCCAAAAGTGAGTGACGTCTCACTCTGTCCTTAAGTAGCCATGTAGACATGACATGTTGTTTGAATCTTCTGAATTACAGTATCTTTCTCTGGGAAATGAGGCTGTCAACTTATATCTTCTTTTATAGTTTAGCCAAAAAGAATATAGCAGCCCCAAGTGTACCATAGGTACCTCAGTTCTTTCAATTTTGCTGCCCCTGAGTGAAAAAGCTGCCATTCATTAAGTAAATCAGGGAAATACTGGACCTCTGATGGGGAATATTAACAATCCTTTTTTATCAGCAGTCCAACTGAGGCTCAGAGTCTCAAGTTGATTCATTAAACACGGATCAGGGTGCATTCTGAAGTCAGGAATTCAGGCGATGCTTGCCCCATCAGATCATGGTGGACAAAATGAACATATTTATAGTAAGGTAGCACTGCAGTGAATACTGCAACAAAGGTTGGCTAACTTTTCGGTAGTTAAACCGTATTGATGGGCCTGCACGATGACTCAGCTGTTAAAGCACTTGCTGCATAAGCCTGATTACCTGAATTGGTCCCTGAAATACATGTATAAAAGCCAGATTCTGCCAGATGTGGTGGTACACACCTTTAATTCTGGCACTCTGGAGGCAGAAGCAGGTAGAACTCCTCCAAGTTCATAGCCAGCGTGGTCTGCAGAGTAAGTTCCAGGACAGCCAGGGCTCAAAAAAAAAAAAGAGAGAGGGGGAGGGAAAGGGAGAGGGGGAGAAAGAGAGGGGGGGGGAAAAAAAAAAAGAAAGGAAAAAAAAAAAGAAAGAAAGGAAAAGAAAAAGGGACAGAGAGAGAGAGGAAGGGAAGAGAGGGAGGAGGAAAAAGAAAGAAAGCAGGCAAAGGTATGGTGCACATCTGTGACCCCAGCGCTCCTACTGTGAGATGGAAGATGGAGACAAGAGGATCATCGAGAAGCTCACGGCCAGCTACTGTGAAGTATGAAACATGACAGAAACACCAAAACTCCCTCAGCAAGGTGGAAGGAGAGAAGCAACACCCAAAAGTTATCCTCTGACTGCATGTATACCATGTCACATATGCACACACAGAGATAATAATAATAAGACAATAGCAAATAGTAATGAAAGACAGGATTCTAAAATTGTATTGATGATGCACTTAGGTTTTTTCGTTAAAAGTTTCTTCTGGTATTCCTTTGACCTTGGACTGTGCAACAGTGCATAAACAAACTCACTAAAGGGACAGAAAATAGTTTTGACTAAATTTTCAATAAAACTCTAAGGAATAGTAGTAATATTTTACTCAAATATCAATTTATTAAATGTCACATCCCATATAAGATGTGAGGTAGCCGAATCCCTGCAGGTAGCCGAATAATAAGTATTCATACTGTGAAATGGATAAAGACTGATGTTAATTCTTGGTACAGCTGCAAAAGAGAGCGACCAGATTTAGGGAAGCAATAGAGTCCTAGTGTCTGACTTGGCCGGCCTGGAATGTCAGTGTGGTCCAGGGAACTGAAGGTGGGAAAAGCCTATCAAATGAAAAGCTGTGGCAATCGAACAAGAAAAGCCGTAGGGATGGCAAACACATGAAGAGTGAAATGACATTTAGCTAGTGGACTAGCTAAATAATGACGGGTTTTCAATCTTGTAGCCACTCTGGAGTTCTAGGTCAGATATCATTTGGTCCCAGAGCCAAGCCGTGCTGAGGTGGGTTGGTAGGCAGTTGGGCTGCCAAGATGACTGGCTCTGAGAGTTCCTAACTGGGATTCTGGGTTGGGATTCACTCAGTCCCAGAGCTGAATAAATGGGTGGTGGCTGATGTGGGGCAGGAGGACTGGCTCTGGAGGTTCCAACCTGCGATCCCAGCTTGAAATTCAGAGTTCCGTGATGACATGGTGGTTTGAGCAGCTGATAGGCAGGCACATCACAGGCTCTCTGGGTTCCCAGCTGATCTGCAAGTGGTCTGTAACAAGTGGTGGGTGGGATGCCTGATAGGTAGATGGGTAGAGGGATTAGGGGTCTCTAACTGGGGTGGGTTCCAGACCAACTTCTACATTGTTCCAGAGCAGAGCATTGGCTGGAATGGCTGATAAGCAGTTCTTATTAATTTTTAGTGTATAAATAAAATGAGACCTTTTTTGTTGCTATCCATCATTTTGAGATCTTTACATTAGAAAAGTAAAGAAAGTCAAAATTGTAATGCATGCCCAGAAATAGATGGCCAACACAAAATGAACTCAATGGCATCATCTTTTGACAGTCTTGTCTCATAATATTGAGTCAGGGATTTTTTTTTTAATCTTAAAGGTCCTCTGTATATATATTATAGTTTCTGATTTTGTGTTTTTAATGGATTCCTATGTGTGTAAACATATGTGTTTCTGCATCTATATGTGTTTCTTGTGCTTTTTCTTCAACTTTTTTTCTTCTGTTTATTTATTTTGTCCTATTCTGATTTGTTTGGGTTTTTATTTACCTTATTTTATTTTATTATTATTCCTTAGATTCCTCTTTGTTTTCTAATATGAGACAGAAAGGGGGTGGAGCCAGATGAAACAGGAGGAACTGGGAGGACTAGGGGGAGGAGAAACTCTAATCAGAATACATTGCATGAAAAAAATCAATTTTCAATTAAAGAAAGACAACCTGTATAGAACTAAAAGAAATTATAATGGTTAAAGGTTTAATATCATGTCAAGATGGATAGGCACTCTAAGAGGAAATCTGAGTCTTGGCTAGGGAGAGGGCTCCGTGGGTAGCATACTTACTGCACAAGTGTGAGGCCCTTAGTTTGAATCCCCACAAACAAGGATTCAGTGACATTGTTTGTGATTCTGTTGCTCCTATGGGAAGATGAGAGGCAGCAAGAAAAAAATCCCAGGAGCTTGCATGCCAGGTAGAATAGCATAAAGAGCGAGGAACACCGTGGAGGTCAAAGGCTGCACCCAAGGTTGTCTTCTGACATTCATGTGGGCTGCATGACATATGCGCATCTACATTCACACGCATGAAAACACACACACACACACACACACACCAATATGCTGAACTTTGATGGGACTTACTCCTTTGTTATGATTTCACAGAGAGCCAACTGGGAAGAAAACTTAAAGAATTCTCTCCACTCTCCTGCCTCAGTCTCAAATGTGTTGGGATTAGGGGTGTGTGCCACCTTACTCTGCCACTCACATAGACTGTAGTCTTGTCCTGCCCGTTATCAACAGCTAAATACTGATTTGTGTCTCCCATTGTCTTATTATACACAGTGACATAGCCCTTAGAAACTTAAAAGTCTACTCAGAGATACAATATGAGCCAAGGCAGGCCTTCTTCATTGGTTTGCATCTATGGCATAGTTATAATCATGAAATTTCTGAGTAGAGACTAATTTTACAAAATAGTTTTTTATGACACTTCTGTTTCCTCGATGCAGGTGCCTTCATCTGTAAGATGGTGCCATTTGTCCAGTCCACCGCCGTTGTGTCAGAAATCCTCACTATGACTTGCATTGCGGTTGAGAGACACCAAGGACTTGTCCATCCTTTTAAAATGAAGTGGCAGTACACCAACCGAAGGGCTTTCACAATCTTGGGTATGTGAGTCACTTTTTGTCACTTGTCAAAATATCTGATATTAGTAACTTAGAAGTAGAAGGATTTGCTTTTGCAATATGTCTTCAGAGATTCCAGCCCATGGCCACTTGACTGTTACTTCTGGGCCTTTGAACAGTAAAATAGAATAGCATGACGTGAACATGTGGCGGAGCAGTGTGGTTCACCTCATAGCAGACCACAAGTACGCAGACAGAAACAATCTGGGACAAGTTACATGCCAGCAACCGACTTCTTTAATCAGGCCCTACTTCCTAGTAGTCCACTCATCTAGGAGTTCATCAGTAGATTTACCCACTCATAAAGTTAGTACCTTCATGATCCAATAATCTCTCCCAAAGTCCATTAGCTAGCAGTCAAGTCCTTTGAGACTTTGGAGGACATTTAATACTTAAATTGTACCATTAGGTAGGGCCACCAGTGTGCCAGCTACAGTATTAATGCCATTCTTCATTATAGAATAATATCATATTTGTACAGTTGAAGGTTTTCTCCTTTTTGTGTAAGCATTCCTGTATAATTTGAGGGGTTTGGTACTCTCTGCATTTACCCCACACCATCTCTCCTTCAGGAATATCCTAATATTGAAATATATTATTGTGGATATATTTCTTTGGTTTTAAGTCTTCGACTTTCAGGCATTCCATTTGGCTAATGAGTGATAGCCATCAGTGGCGTTCCCACATTAACCTTCATCTGACGAGAGATGAGAAAGCTCTGAGTGTATAGGAGGAAAAGATTTCAATACGGAACAGGAAATGTGCTTTGAGAGAAGCAGGGAACAGGGGAGTACAGAGATGGCTCCCAAACAGTTCACATAGAGGTTGCAAGTGCCTGAAAATGGAGTAGAGTCCTTCAGATGCCCAACAAAGATGCATCCCACTCTCTTCATTGCACTTCAGGCAACTCTAGGTTCTTAGCTTGCTGTAACTGTCCCTGACTCAGTAAGACATGAAAACAACAAATCTCACAAAAATGCTGAGTTTGAAACAATGGCCTAAAAAAAAGTCTAGTGTGGTAATAGATGAATTTTCCTTCTTAACCATTATCATTGAGTGCTTAAAATCTTCAGGTGTTTTATAATGGTCTGAACTTACAATAATCAGATGCATAGTGTACAGCTACAGGATCATTCACGAAAGGTAACAAATTTAACTAATGTATCACATGAAATAAATAAGCGAACGGTGTTTCTGTCATAAAAATTTAGCTGCTATTGTATCATAAGGAACACTGAAGATGGAGAGCCTGTGCAGTTTACCACATTACGATGATTATCACTTTTTTACAGGTGTGGTCTGGTTGGTGGCCATCATCGTAGGATCACCCATGTGGCACGTACAACGACTTGAGGTAGATTCGGGGATGAATTACTATTTATACTACTGAAATACTTCTCCACATCTCTCATCTATAGCCATTACCATCTCAAGAGCATTTCAGCAAGTCTACACTACTTCAGTTCCTTCACTGGAAATCTTTCTAATGAAATAAAATCATTTTTTTCTGTTTTATTTAATTCTTCTAGATATTGTATTGGCAAGACACTGATGCTTAACATTTTAAAAAATGTTTCAAGGTCACTTTCTCCATTTTCCTACAAATTGAACATGTTTTTCCTAAAATGCTCCAATATCTTAATATAACTGAGAATCCAACGAGTGTTCTATATTTTCTTTTATTGAAAAATAGATTTTTTACACACAATATATTCTGATTACAGTTTTCCCTCTTCTATTCCTGCCAGTTAACCCCTCTACTCCTCCTCCCATCTGTATCCACCCCCTTTCTGTCTCTCATTAGAAAGCAAATAGGCATCTAAGAAATAATAATAAAATATAATGAGATAGACCAAAAACAAATTGAAATATGACAAAACAAACAAACAGAAGGAAAAGAGCCCAAGAAAAGGCATAAGAAACAGACATAGATGCAGAGCCCCACTTGTTTGCAAACTCGGGAATCCCATAAAATCACAAAATCAGAAGCCATGATATATACATAAAATCTGTAGGGTAAAAAAAGTAAATAAATTAACTAAAAATAAATTTTTAAAAACTCTGACAAATATGCTCCAAATATGCTGTTGTATTAGTTTTCTGTTGGTCAACTCCTGCTGGCCACGCCATCTACCCTTAAGAGTAGCTTGTTTCCCCAGGGAGACCACCTTGGAGAGAAATAATTTTACTTTTATAAGCAGTTATCTATTTGGGATAGCTTCTGGCTTAGGGATGAGGTGTGTGTCCACTTCTTTCAGCTCTGGGACCCCATCTGGTGCAGACCCACGCAGGCCCTGTGCATGCTCTCTGTGAGTTCATATGTGTGTTGGTCACTCTAAGCCTAGAAGGCCTTGTTTCTTTGGTGTTCTCTATTCCTTCTGGCTCTTACATTTTTTCTGCCTCCTCTTCCACAGGGTTCTCTGAGCCCAGAGGGCAAGAATTTGATAAAGGCATTCTGTTTACAGCTGAGTGTTCTGAGATCTCTCATTCTCTGTATAATGTCTGGCTGTGGGTTTCTGTATTTGTTCACATCTGCTACAGGAGGAAGCTTCTCTGATGATGGCTAAGCAAGGCACTGATCTATGACTATAGCAGAATATCATTAAGAGTCACTTTATTGCTGTGCTTCTTTTGTAGAACAGTAGCATTTGGCTTTCTCCTAGGTCCCTGGGCGATCTGGTCTCAGAGTCTTGGTTACCCAAGTAGCATTGAGTATGGGTTCTATCTCATGAAGTGTGCTCTTAGTCAAAGCAGACATTGGTTGGTTACTCCTAGAAGCTTTGTGCCACCATTGCTCTAGTGTACCTTGCAGGCAGCCCACCATTGCAGATCAAAGAGCTTGTAAATAGGTTGGAATTTCTGTTTCTCCTTTGGCAGTGTGGAGAGTATCTTCTGGTACCAAGAGCACTGGCCAGAAAGGGTGAAGGCTGTAGGCAGTCACTAGCTCAACTTCTCCATGTTCAGTGAACTGTGTGTGTGTGTGTGCATGTGTGTGTGTGTGTGTGTGTGTGTGTGTATTTGCAGTAATACAGTCTTGCTGTCAAATTGTGGAGAGAAATCTATAGCCTTTTGGACAGCCTGGGTTCTTTGAGGCACTCCTTTGGCCAACAGCACAATTAGATGTAACCCCTTTCTTGGTGCTGGAAGGTCCATTTGGTGATGAAAGATGTTAATTAGGGGCTTTCTCCCCTGCTGTTTGGTGATTTCATTTAGATTACCTTCATATATGTATGTAATTTAAGAAGATTCTACTGTATTGTTTCCATACAATTCTTCAAGTGGCCTTTAATTTTCACTGTCCCTCCCCATAGTCCTTCCCTCATCCTCTCTTCCCTCCCACTACTCATTTGTCCATCCATAACTGTCTATTTCAGTGGTTCTCAACCTTCCTAATGCTGCAACCCTTTAATACAGTTCCGCATATTGGGGTGACCCTAATCATAAAATTATTGATTTGCAACCTCATAACTGTAATTTTGCTACTGTTATGAATCATAATGTAAATATCTGATATGCAGCCCCTGTTGGGGTCACAACCCACAGATTGAGAACTACTGATCTATATCCCCTCCCTCCCCTATATTTCCTTTAATTGTTAACTCATGCAAAAATGTAAAGATTAGTTGGTTCTCCTTCATAAGGCCTTTCTTGCCTGCTTCATCTTCATTGGTAAATTGAAATTTGAGTAGGACACACACTCAGAGAGCATCTTACCCAATGACTCCCCTTCTCATGCCTTTGTCTGGTGGATTCAGCCATGTGTGAGGATTCACAGTAAAAGTTGGGTGTTTGTTTGGCCCAACCTGTCCATTGGTGTGAACTTGAACATTTCTTGTCATTTAAAACAGACATCAATCTTCAAAGACATTGTTCACATAGTGCCTAACAAAACTTATAAAATGATATGTTCTTATCTACTTCTTAAAACAGAAAGGCAAATATGGAATTTTACTAGGCATGCCACACCCCTCAGTAAGGATATCAAGTGAGACATAAGGTAAAAGCAGAATGTAAAAATAGTCTGGTATTTGTTCTATGACTTGAGTATTGAGTGAACTGAACTGTGTGAGACTAGGGAGCAACTTTATTCTAAGTTACCACTTATGAAATGATACCCAAGGATGTCCCAACCTGTCACATCACTTCTGCTGCAATTCAGTTAGTTAAAGTTCACCACAGAAACCGTGTAACATCTTTTATAAAATGCCCAGTCCACTGCCTTAGTCAGGTAAGTTCATACAATCAACCCCTCGGCTTTAATTGACATTGGACATATGCCTTCTGGGTGTCTCTGCCCCTCTGTGTCCACTGAGTCTCTGTCTCCAACAAGATGGTGAGGAGAATGGGTAGAAGAAGGAAAAGATGTGGTCTGGGTGTGACTGTGACCTACAAATGATGCTTTTCTTCTGGGTTTTCCCAAAGACATGCAAGCCTTCTGGCTGCTTCTTCACTCCTCAGCCCTTCTACACACTGCAAACATGGTTTTTGTGCTGAGGCTACCTTCCCCCCTGGCAGGGTATAGAGCAATGGGATCATTCACAAATGCCACGTTCCAATCATGAAATCTACTTCTGGACCACAGAAAACAAGTAGATATGGTAATATTTTTTAAAAAATTGCTTCATGGCATACTTTAAACATACCTTAAATACTTGACTCGCTTAGTTGGCATAAAATGTATATTGTACAATATAATTGACAAAACTATGCTCACTATCACATCATCCAAGTCACATTTGCTTCTTGTCTTGTATTAGCATGAATCCCATGGTCATCTCATGCCTAAATGCTATTTACTACTCTAGTAAGAATGAGTGCAGGCACATAGAAGCCTTAATTCCTCACTCGGATGATGGAACACTGTGTCATTGGTGTTTCTCACCAAGCTCTTGCAACCCAGTTCTCTCAGGTGTGGTTTATGTCTCTGTTTTCAGGGACTGGAGTAAAGAAGTAACTAAATGAACACTATTGCCACTCATGTCCCCTCCTAGCACTTGTCAAAATACAATTTCCCCCCACTATCAGGCTTTACACTAAATACAAATATATTTAACACTTGGCAAAGCAGAAGACCTCTCCATGGGTTGGTGCCACCTAATCAAGGGAGGGCTTCACTATTATCAGTAATAAATTGTCTCTTTTCTTGATGCTCATGGTAAGATTTGCGTTGGGGACAGATGCCATTCATAAATTAGAATGAGGATGATGGTGAAAATAGAAGTGGGACTACAGACCAAAAATAGCTCCTCAACCCCAAAAGGTATCTTAAACAGTAAAACTTTAGAAAAATGCTTGTTTAGAAATGGAGACTATAGGGCTGGGAATGTAGCACACACATGAGAGGTAGAAGAGTGAATATCTGAATTAGAGTGCATGCAGAGATGTTCATGTCCCTAGAGTTATGAGAGCCCATCAGAGACTAGTATGGAGCTTTAGGCTTTGCTACACCATGATTATGTCATTGCAGGGTCCGCTTCTATAGTGTCAGGATAGGTTATGCTTTTACCTCCATTCATGAGAAGTTCAGATCTCGAAATAATTTTTCAATGATTTATATCATTCCAGTTATGTTTGTCAGTAGCACCTAGAGCAGAACTTGAATTTTCTTGCTTTTTCAATTGCTACTGAAGATTGTGAAGAAGTTTTGCATATAAACATAAGCAAAACTATGTCTCAAACCTACATATCCACCCGAAAAGGCCAAGCGTGCCTAGAGGAGAGCATCCCTGATAAATGCTCACATTTCCATCCCTGCTACCTAGAGATGTGGCTTCTGAATATGCTCAAAGGGTTCAGTTCAGTCTAGAAATGAGCCACACCACTTCCTGTTGTTAATGGTGTCTGACCTTAAAGATGAGTCTGCCAGAACTAGTTTGAATAAATCAGCTAACAAAGACCACTTGAATTATTTTGGGTTGGCAGTAGTTTGAATCTCATTTTTCCAGTTGCCTTTTCAATGCCTATTTTAGCATCTCTTACTTTAAGGAAGTCTGATGACTCTCCAAGTCTGTTTCTTCAACAAGTGAAAAAGCAAAATCTATTAGTTTAATTAATACCAAAGCAAACAGCAGACAGTGCGATAAGTATGCTCTTTTAGCTCTCTGAATAGTGGTCAGAAACAGAAATCAAAGTTGAGAAAGGCAAGAAATGAAAGAAACATACACAGACCTCAATGCCATTTTAAATCTAAAAGCACAAAATTCTCAAAAACCTAAGCAGGTTAAGTAGAAAAACTGTATTTTTATTACAAAATAACAATGAAACAGTAATTTATATTTGCAAAAGTATCAGTGACAAATTTGAAGTCTTTAAAATGATGTTCTGCCCTGATACTTGGCTGCTTCTGATGTTGGTTCTTTCAACTGAACTATTCTTACTCTAAAGATTAAGTATGACTTCCTATATGAAAAAGAACACGTCTGCTGCTTGGAAGAATGGGCCAGCCCCATGCACCAGAAAATCTACACCACCTTCATCCTTGTCATCCTCTTCCTCCTGCCTCTGGTGGTGATGCTCGCCCTCTACAGTAAGATCGGCTATGAACTCTGGATCAAGAAGAGAGTTGGAGACAGCTCCGTGCTTCAAACTATTCATGGAAAAGAAATGTCCAAAATAGCCAGGTCTGTCTGATTAAATGCTCACCTCTGTTTAAAATGTTCAATTAGTTGTGCTAGAAGGGACAGTTACCATGGATGCCAGAACTCTTGAGTAATTTAGCCAAAGTAATCTAAGTTGAGAGTATTTAAACCCCTGAAACTTTGTGCAATTTAATGTGTTTCAGAAAGATGGATCAAAATTATTAGTTCTTAAATCAAGTGAAGTAGGAAGTGTGGAGGAGAATTTACAGCATGGTTACGTTTACATCTGAATATAAATATGATTTGCAGAAAGAGCTATGAACTGGTATCAGAGGTCCTGGAGGCCTCTGCTTTCTGTCACCTTGCTGTCCATGTGACACAGATTTGCATTTTTTGCCCCCCTCCTCCATTTCCTCATATACACAAGGTTGTATAATAACATCTGTCCTTACCTCCTACCACTCAAAGATGGTGATACCATACATGAGATGGAGTGTATAAAAATGTTCAAACCACAGCATTATACTTACATTAAATGGTTAGTGTTAAAATTTGATTTCAGCATAAAAGCTTTCTTACCTTATTCATTAGTATCCATTTTAAAACACTGTGATGCTGCGTACATTACATCTATACTGAATGAGCATTCAAATGAAAACGAGTGATGCCTCTGGTGCAGACTTTAGGGTTTTGACGGGATGTAGTTAAATCTTGGTGTGCAGTGTCCTCTAGTGCCCAGTTTGTATAAAGACAGGCCTCTCTGAATATAGGAGGGTCCCACAACTTCATCACCTTGGGAATTTTTATTGAATTAATTATACACTTTCCTCAGAAGAAAGGGATACTGGAGTTGAAAAGAGAGGTGCAAGTACGAACTTCTAAAATATAAAGCAGATATATAGTTCTAGTGCAGATATAAATCTATCTTGTAAGAAAAACAAAGAAGAAATGAGTTTGAATTCCTAGTAAGCCAGGGTTTTAATTCTATCCTTGTAGTTTACTATATTTTGCAAATATTGATGTTTTTCTATCAAAGACAAGAATGATTTTCAATACACAGTTTATTAAACCTCACTCACTGAACCTTACATTCCTAAATCCAAACCCAAAGCACACCAGTTACTAGCCATCTGACTGCAAATCAGGAAGCTTCAGTGTGCGGAAGCTTCTGGATTGGCCCATTGATTTCCTTGAACATTAATGATATAATCCATGCCAGTAACCTAGCAGAATGGCAGGTCCACAGTGAGCACTCATCCTAAGCATGTTTATTACATAAAGACCATGAAGACAAGAGTGAAACAAACAGGAAAGGCAATAATCTCCCTGCAGTTGTGTTTGAGTGGCCTAAGATCAACTTTTATTTCAGTCTTGCTGTTTTAACACATTTTCCACCGAAGAGTGAACCAGCACAATGCTTTCTTGTGGGTCTAGGAAGAAGAAGCGGGCTGTGGTTATGATGGTGACCGTGGTGGCTCTCTTTGCTGCGTGCTGGGCACCTTTCCATGTTGTTCACATGATGGTTGAATACAGTGAGTACTTAGCATTCTCATTTGATGACTCCCCGGTCTATTTCCTGCTAGAACAGACAGGAATGACTGTAAAACTGTTGCTGTTCACTGGCTTAATCAAATCCCAAGCCTTGCCTCTGGTTCTTTCCTATCACAAGAGCTCTAGCTCCCTGCGTGGTGGGTGACGATGTGTGACAAAGGCACTTTAGGAAGTGCACTTTAGTAGCTGTTCACAATAAAGAAAAGCTTCCAGATTCATACATTACTCCTAAGGGGAGTGATGTGGCGTCTTATGAACCATCTCTTTTTACAGTCTCCACTCACACTGTATTGATTTAACAATACTTGGGATTTTAGCCAGCACCTCAAGGTAGTCTGCCTGATAAGCAGGAATTCACAGGGCTTTCAGAGTGACTATGTTTCTGCAGTGCAAGTGAATATTTGAAAGGCATGCTTCTAGTTTGCATTACACTTGAATTATTTAGTGGAAGCGCTGTGAGCCCAGTAGCATGTGCTGGACGCCAGCCTGTGTGTGTTAAGAATGCTCATCACGAATGCCATTTGTTCCCAGATAATCTGATTCTTCTCCCACAGTGGGCTTCAGAAATGTGCATGCCTTTTGTCTCTGACAAAATCAGATGGTAGTTTTTAATTTTTTTGATAAAGTCATTTCACATTCTAAAGTATTATTCTATTTCAGGTGATTTTGAAACAGAGTACGATGATGTCACAATCAAGATGTTTTTTGCTGTAGTACAAATAATTGGGTTTTTCAACTCCATCTGTAATCCCATTGTGTACGCATTTATGAACGAAAACTTCAAAAAGAATTTTTTGTCTGCAGTATGTTATTGCATAATAAAAGAAAGGTTTTCTCCAGTGCAGAAGCGCAGAAATTCAGGAATGTGGATGACACAGAAGAGAACCACGTTATCTCGACAACAGTGTCCAGGAGAGAAAACCAAGGGAGATGCATTCAGCGATTCCAACATCGAAGTCAAACTGTGTGAGCAGCCCGGAGGGAAAAGGCAGCTCAAGCGACAGCTTGCTTTCTTTAGTTCTGAACTTTCTGAAAATTCAATTTTAGGCAGTGGACATGAATTGTAATGATATCTTCATAATTAATATTATTTGTATGGAAAGTTATTTTGAGCAAAGGTCAAAGACTGTTTTTTAAATGATGACAAGAAGGGAAATAAGGCATGTTTTCCATTTAAAACATGGTAAATGGAACTATAACTTTGAAAAATTACTAAAGCAGCTTTGTGGATTATTAGATTTATTAAAGACATCATACATAAAGCAATGGTCTCAGCAGGAGTTTTTATGCATGTAGTCAATGTAATGTGACTTTCTGTGTATTGCTAAACTGGATGGAAATTATTAAAATTGTATCATCATCTTTGCCTATTAACCAACTGAACACCATAATGTAATTTATAGCATACTGTTGAAGTTAGGGTAAAAACCTTTGCAATTGACATTTGCGCCTTAATAATAGTCAAAGAAGATGAAGAATCAGGCAAATAACAATAAAACTTAAAAGACAAATGCCACATTCCTATAAGCCGCCATCTTTGTGATGACAAGTCACTTCGTCTTCTCACATCTCTACCTGCTCCTGTATGAATGGAGAGTCACCCCTTGCTTACTTGGTGGAGCAGAAATGACACAAACTGACTGCAAAGGAAGGAACTTTTCACTCTACATGATGAAATCCGAGTCCTGGCCCTGCCCCTCCTGTCTCTAGCTCTAATTTTCTTCTCTGCTTTCCTTTCTGAGATTTATTCCAGCTCTGCTTCTCATCAAAAGAAAGGCTGGGTAGCCTCACTTATTGACTAGATAGATAGATAGATAGATAGATAGATAGATAGATAGATAGATAGACAAATAGATAGGTAGATTTGGCACTTTATCCTCTCTCACTAGTGAGATGAAGGATTTTTTTGTTATATATTAAGAGACTTTCTCAGTAGGAGACTAATGATGAAGGCTTGAGACATTCCCAAGCCTGGGAAATATTGCTATGTCCAAAGCCAGCCTCCAAGTGTCTGGTCAGGAAGACCAAAGCCCCACCCCCAACTAGTTCAGCCCCTCACTCCTGTGTCCCATGTGTCAAAACTCCAACTGCCACTGTCAGCACTCAGTTGTCTTCCCAACAGATAAGATACTCAAAGCCCGACCACAGCCTCGCTGCCTAAATGTTTCTTCTGCCTCTGGTTTTCAATTACGCATTTTCCATCTGAAGAACTCAGAATATTTTATGATCTAAGCTTAAAATTTGGAAACCAAAGAGCGCAAATGTCTTGGGTTTTCTTAGCTGCAGGCATTTTATTTCATGTGTGTCAATGATGGGCTATTGAAAAGGAGAGAGGTGAAACAGAGTGTAGGATAAGGAAGACAAATCACATGACACAGGAAAATTAGCAAATAAAGAAAAGGAAACTTATTATTTGTTTTTTATGGATCACTTTTGCAAACTGTCATAATTCTTTTTGTCTAGTTACACTGTAATAAAACAGTGATCACTACACTGATAAATCCTTTAAAATGAACCTAATGTGCTGATTTTTGTTATCTTTACTTAACTGCTAAATATTCATATGACTTCACCTATGACAAGGAAAAGTTGTATTATTATATATTTATCATCCATAAATAAATAATAAATTCAAAGTGGAAAGCCAGCCCTGATGACTCCCAACCGAAGAATAATCAAATGGACAATGCTACATCAATGAGCTCTATATTCTCAAGGAGCACTGATGGCTATATGTGATGGGTTAAGTAATTTTAGTAACAGGAAACCACACATTCAAGAAATTTGTGTGTGTGTGTGTGTGTGTGTGTGTGTGTGTGTGTGTGTGTGTGTGTGTGTTGGGGTTTGGCAGCATGTCTGTGTACTGTGTGCATGCCTGGTGTCCATAGAAGCTGGAAGAGAACATCAGATCTCCTGAAACAGGAATACAGAGAGTTATGAGCTGCCATGTGGATGCTGGGAATAGAACTGCTATATGGGTGCTGGGAATAGTACCTGGATCCTCTGGAAGAGCAGCCAGTACTTTTTGATCACTGAGTCATTGTTTCTAATGCTTAATTTGATCTTTAAGACTGACAAGCCTATAAAATTCATTTATTTGACATTCCATTAAGAGTTATTTTTGCATTCTAAATTTACAAAATTAATCTTCCAAAAGTTTTGTTTTATTGCCCAAAGTTTAACATGTAGCCATTTAACCCCACTACTGTAAGAATAGCAGATTCTTTAAATAAAATGGGGAAAGTTACTGCTGTGAGTAAAAATGGAGGGGAATGGGTTACTGTTTTTCAGGTGTAGTATTCGGTGTTTTATAGAGTATGTTTAAAAAGGACAATGTATCCAGCTATTATTATTTTTTAATTTTGTTTTTTAGATTATAATACAGTTGCAGCATCTCTCCCTTCCCTTTCTTCCCTCCAAGCCCTGTCCTCCCATATGCCCCTTCCTGCTCTCCATCAAATCCATGGCTGCTTTTTTCACTAAGTGTTATTGTATATATGTATATGTATACAATGTATATATGTATATGCATATACAGAGATATTCCTAAATATAACCTGCTCAGACTGTATAATGCTGCTTATGTGTATGTTTTCAGGACTGTTTGGCACTAAGTAACCAATTTGTGTTCTCTTCCTTGGGGAGGACTGCCTCTCCCACCCCCATATTTCTTCAGTTGCCTGTAGTTCTTTGTGTAGGGATGCGAATTCATGGGCTTTCCCCATCCACTTTGCCATGTCCACTGGTGTCCTTGTTCAGCTCATGATTGGGAAATCATGTTGGTTTACAGGTAAAGTTTTATAGGCAAAGCTTCTTACATTGCCAGGAGACACAATCTCACAGCAAACTCCCTGATCCTCCAGCTCTTACTACCTTTCTGCCCTCTTGCAATATTCCCTGAGCCTAAGGTGTGAGTGTCTAACCATCATTTTTGAAGCTCCTGCAATGTGTCAGACCTAGACACCTTCCCCTTCCCAAATTGAGAACACTTTCCTCTCTAAACCAGAAAAATCTGACTGACGGCCTTTAAGTTGACTGGTCAATGAAATAACAGAGAAAACTCAGTTTTAAAAATAATCAGGTAAATCCAAAAGTTTTAGACTTGAACATAGCTCTATCAACTTAGACATCAGGCATGAGGCATGTTTTTCTCTTATTTGATGAAAATCTTATATTCCAAACTTGTGAAGATGGAGGTTTCTGACTTTTTATTATCTAAACCAATTAAGAACTCCATTTACAAGTTAGAGCTGAGGTAAAACTTGGGGATCTATCTATGTGCTTGATACATCATTCCAAGAATTGGTATGTTTTGGAAAGACAATTTGTAGAGAAAGAAGAAGAAAATTGATGCTAGTAGCAGAAAGAACCTGGAAAATAACACATTTATAGGGCTTATAATTAAATTTTATAAGCACCTACTTAATGAATGAAAGAATGGACATAGATAGAAGTGGAGATTTGAATTCAAAACTATAGAATCCACGGCTGGAGAGATGGCTCAGTAGTTGAGAGCACCATACCACTCTAGTGGATGCCCCAGGTTTGGCTCCCCGCACCCACATCAGTCAGCTGACAAGTGCCTATAACTCCAATTCCAGGAGTCTAACTTCATCAGCTACCCGTGTGTATGTGGTGCACCCAAACTCACACAGGTGCATGCACACACATTGATAATAATAAAAAAAACTGCTACAGAATTTAAAGCCCTTTATTGACTTCTGGTGGAAATATAAGTAATACTCCTGTCTCTATCACAAAGTTTCTGTCATCAGATCATGAGAGTAGTGTCAAGCTTACACACTGATGACATTTGGCAGGGGAGCCAGGTATACTTTTGGCAAAATGAAATGATTTTTTGTGCTAGTTTGATTCTTATGAACTTAAAAGAATAAATAAACTTCACCAAAGGGACTGAGCAGAGATGACTCAGGTTTGAATATCAGTGGACTGAGTGCTGAAGTGGGGGTTGCCTAGTCCATAGAGTGTATCTGATAAGGTCAACAAGTTCAAAGCCAAGAAAGTGACGAATGGCGCCTCTGTGTGTGATGCTTCACCTGTTTTCAGATACAGTGGCATGGTGGCCAGGTCTCCAGACCTGAGAAGCAGGGTGCACCTCAGTTGTCAGCAACATTCAGTCTGACCATGCCTGAGGAACCAGGTAATGAGGACAAATGTGGACTGCACTGTTGCTCAATACTCCATACCAAATTTTATCTTCAACTCAACAAAAATCCCCAGGGTTCCCTGGAGAATTCTCAGAGAAGAATCAATGGCTTCTTAGCCCTGTCTGAATAGTGTGGGTGGCAGCCACTTGCATTCTAGTAAGCACTAAGTGTATTTGCTCCTCTTGGATGTGAGTTAAGCACCTGGAGACTTCACATGGGGAAGTCTCTTTAGAGAGCATGCTCCATTGCTGACCCCATCCACACTTGTACAAGGCAACCTCCTCTACCAGTGAAGTGTGTTACTCAAGTATGGGGAGCTCTCTGACAGTTTTGTGGTTATAGGACATCCTCCCTGGTTGGCAGGCAGCAAGCCTGGCTAGGAATGCCCTAAACACCACAAGGGCATTGTCTTGAAACAAGTATTTTACTGAGCTCATGTTTGTTTTGTTCTCTTATTTTATTCAATTGTCTGCATATATTGCCATCCGTCCATGTCACTGAACAGACATTCATGCCAGCTTTTCATTCCTAGACCAATAATTTATTATGAGATTGTGTAATCAACAGCTTGGTTCCTATTGTTTTCATTTGTCTGTTTAAAAAGCAACATTGTCTTGGACATTCCTGACCTCTGCCCTTTTCTCTTGACCTGTTTATGTCTTTACAAAAAATTCCTGGATAGCTGAATTTCTTGGTCAGTGGGGGCACCCTAAAGGGATTCTGAGAATCTGTGACAGACCTCAGCTCAGCTGCCTTCCTGGCTGATGCAGAAAAATTGTGTATGGCCTAGGCGGAATCAGACATTGGGCCTTGGCCCTGCTGTCGGCAGCTGTCAACCTTGTCTGTGATGATTTTCTTACCACAAGACCTTCCATCTTGCAGGTCACAATAATAGTCAC